CAAGCATGACATCATTCTAACAACTTGATCACTCTTTTATTTGGAAAGGAAAGCTTAGAAACAGGATTTCAAAGTGCAAATATTTGGCTGACCTCTATCATTTGGAAGTATGATTGTATTCTCTAAGCTAGCCTTATGCATCACCATGCAACCCTCTAAATCAGTGTTCTTCAACCTTGCCCATTATGTGTGGACTTCAGCTCCCAGAATTCCATAGCCAGCATGATGACTGCAGAATTCTGGGAGTTGAAGTCCACACATCTTAAAATGGCTAAGTTTGAAAAAACGCTGATCTAATTACATTGGAGAACTCCATCATTGGCCTTCCTTTATGGAAGTCCAATAAAGTTAGGCTTCCAGTGAGATTCTATAGCAGAGTAGATGTCCCCAAAGGAGTAGAGACAATGCTGCAATAGTGAACCAGCAGCCAATGATTGTTTTTATCTGAAGAAGCCTTTCCAAGTAAAAGAGAGATTGAGAGATCATCCACCTGCACCCTGGGAAAAGACTACACAACAGAAGTCTTGTGGTTTACTCATGAGTAGAACAGCTGAAGCACACAAGAAACATCTCACAATTTATAATGTGCAGCCTTTTATACAACATTTCGTTCAATCATACTTTCTTAATCACTTTTGGAAACAATCTTCAAGTTACAATTGAAGAAGAGTTTTGAAAACAGTAGGATAAAAATGGTTATTAGAATATGGCTATTATAACCAATCACAAAATGATGGCTATTTTTTCTTTAGAATCTCTTACTTAATTACAGAAAATAAAATAACACTTGCAATGGACTTTAAAACAAAAACAAACAAACAAATAACTGTGAAATGTATTAATGTGCAAATTCTTGTTTGATAGACAGTCTCAAAAAACACCACACTATACTGCATGAGCACTATGATGTCATCTTTCCAGAGCTGTAGCAATAAACATTTGGTAAACTTATGTGTGTTACAGTGTCTTTACTTTTAAAAATGTTCTGTCTTTTTACCAGCCAATCAACCCATTGCTTTATTGAGTTCTGAGGAATATAATTAGTGTAGTAGATTTTTTTTAAAAAAATCTTTCTTTTCTTTTCTTTTCTAGGTATTATGCGTCATTGTGCTTACAATTATCTTAGGATGTATATTTGGACTGAAGCCTAGCTGTACAAGAGATGGTAAGTAATAAAAATGCTAATAGAAGAATCAATATATGAGTTTTAAAAATATCTCCATTTCCCCAGAGATTACATTCATAGCATTCCATGCTGGTCCTCTGTACATATGAGTAACAGCTTGTCAGCTGAACCAGATCCAGAATAAGGTGCATACTACTTCTTGAAACACCTATACAAAATTAAGAATTTATATATGAAGATATTCCAGGCATAAACAAAGTAATTTAGGCCATTGTTTTTCTCACTGGGCTTCCTCTGGTTTAACATAAATATGCCTAATTGTCAATTTTTTCCCATTAGGATCTCAGTACAATACAAATTATGAATGCTATTAGTAATATTTCTACCTGAACTACCATTTAATTAATAAAAGCCTTTGTTAATTAATCAAATGAGTTTCAGATCTCATGCAAATCACTGGTAAGTATGTTAGGATCACAACCTTCATTTTACAATTTTATGCATACTTCCTTGAAAGAAATCCTACAGCACCCAAGCAACGGGCATGGGATTATTTTGCAAATATGACTAAGTATACAGTCTTGAATGGGGCCAAAGAAGAGCTACTGCTAAGCCAGCATCAAAGTTTTCCATGGAAATGGTTTCCCCCCTTGTTTTTTAATCTGGCAAAACTTATTTTAGTTTAGCATCTTCCTCCCACAGTTCAGAAGGAATGAGAAAATGAAGCTGTACTTAGACCAATCTAGACAAGGCTTCATTTAATCCTTTTTGGGAGAATGGGCAAGTTTAGATCTAATAGGTCAATGTGGTCTCCATTTGTTGAAGTTGAAATTTAGACAACGTGCATGCCTCCAATGTTGCTTCCACATCTATATTCATAGACAGATTCAGTAGCATTTATATTATTTTAGACTGAGAAGGTCTATTTTTTTTGGTTAGGGGTTAACAAAAAGGGAGTTACTAAAAGGGGGGTCCATACCTTCATGCACGTGGATGCCAGACCATGTCAGATCCACCCTGACATACAACGTTGTGTTCAGTTTGTAACATTAAGTAAATATTGAACATTTCAGTGAAAACCTGCAAGGGTCGTTGCTATGAAAGAACATTTGGAACATGCCGCTGTGACAAGGACTGTATTGAACTTGGAAACTGCTGTTTAGATTTTCAGGAAGCTTGTACAGAACCTGGTAAGCATATTTTGTTTTATTTTATTGCATTTCATTTGATCGCAGCTCAGTTTTTCAAGGAGTTGTGCTTCTGGACTTCAATCACTATTTCTATCTGTTTCAATTGTGTATGTTTCAGTTGTATATATTTCTATATGTTCCAATTGAATAAATTCAGTCAGAACTGATTAATTGACTTGGAAATCCAGAATGGAAAGCCAAATTGAATTAATATTTTAAATCATATTTTGCATGGTTTTTATATTCCTAGTAGAGGGCATAATGGAGATAAGTGTTATAGGGGGAGAAATGGAGCTTTCTTACCAATTTCTTTTCTGGTAAATTCAATATTTAATACTTAATTCCCACAGCACTGTCTTATTTCTCATCTTTTCTCATCCTGTCATCTGTCCTGCTATCTTCTTCTGTTGGTTTCTTATGATTTATCAATTGCTGTTTATTATGATCTGTGACCTATTACTTGCTGTTTATATGTACCGTACGCTGTGAGACAAATTCCTTGTGTGTCCAATCACACTTGGGCCAATAAAGGATTCTATGATTCTATGATTCTATTCTATGATTCTATTTCATGACTGGCCTTACCTACCATGGCCAATATTTTCTGAAGGGGCCACCTCCACTCCATGGCAAACCGTTTTGTGCCAGTGCCAGTGATATGCTCTCCAGATTCCAAATACGCTGATCAGCCCAAAATGATTGGGAAGATTTGTTTTAGATGTTTAGACCCTAAGAGTTCCAGGTCTCTAATGATGTTTAAAATAGTGGGAGAGTGCATGGATTGGTGAGTAGGGGAAAAAACATTAGGTAGGGATATATGGAATTTAAATTGGTTGGATAACTTAAATGATGGCACTAGGTCAGTGATGGCAAACCGTTTAGAGACCGAGTTCCCAAACTAAACATAAACCTCACTTATTTATCGCAAAGTGCCAACACGGCAATTTAACCTGAATACTGAGGTTTTAGTTTAGAATAAAACAACTCATACATTAACATCCTTTGTCTTAAAAGAAAAACACAATAACAAAGCTTTCAATGATACAAACAACTTTTTATTGAAAGGTAAAAGTTTGCATTTAGTATGCTTTTGAACAATTAGTGTGATTTTTGCTGTTGTATGCATGCTGATAATTTGTCTAACCTTGCTTGGCTCATACTTTATAAGTTTGAGAGCGACACATTTCTCAAGCCCCTTCCTAGCCAAAACAAGCCTCCGGAGCGAAACCTCCTGACAGTTAGAACAATTAACAAGTGGAACAACCTGCCTCCAGAAGCGGTGAATGCGCCAACACTGGAAGTTTTTAAGAAGAGACTGGACAGCCATTTGTCCGAAATGGTATAGGGTTTCCTGCCTGAGCAGGAGGTTGGACTAGATGACCTCCGAGGTCCCTTCCAACTTTATCATAATTATTAGTATTATTATAAGGCAAGGCGTGCTTGCTCCAGAGGCTTGTTTTGGCTAGGAAGGGGCTTGAAAAATGACTTTTTCCTGTGAAAACATAGCCAAAGTGCGAGGTGGGCATGCCCACAGAGAGGGTTCTGAGTGCCCCCCTCTGGCACGCGTGCCATAGGTTCGCCACCATTGCACTAGGTCTTCTCCAGACTGGTGACTTTACCCATGAGATCCTTGCTCAATTATTTCCTTGAGTTCAGAAAGTACAAAAAGAAAAGTTCCCTTTTTTTGTTTGTAGCCTTGTAACAATTCGACAGGCAATTCCATGTACAGTTTTTATCCAGCCCAGACATGTTTAATTTCAAATAGTATCTCTCTGTTACAGTTCAGATATGGACCTGCACCAAATTTAGATGTGGTGAGAAGAACCGGCCAGAGTATCATTGTTCCTGCTCTGATGATTGTGTGAAAAATAATAATTGTTGCGCCAATTACTACTCTGTTTGCGAAGGTAAAACTCCCCGTTTGCTTCTTTCTTCCAAAAGCAGCAATGCGCTGGGCTATTTATTCTACTTTTTCAAGGATTTTGTGTTAGTTTCTAGGTCAAGAAGTATGATTTAAAAGACTGCTTTAAACATTTTTTTCTAAAGAAAGCACAGGGCAGAGTCTATTCAAACGCAGAATCTATTGAAATTATTGGGATAGGTTGGTTACAGTGTGACAAAAGACTGGCTGATTTCAGTGGGAGCTGAGTTAACTGCAATCTCATTTTATGTGCTATAGCAAGCATTTGGTTTTAAAACTAAAGGATAATGCTTTGCTGCTGATTCCATATATAGTAAGCATCTGCTCTGATAGTTCATATACAGTAAGCATCTGACAGTTGCAGGATCTGGATTTGGTCAGTCTACAAAAAGGAAGGATTAAGGATGACATGATAGCAGTATTCCAGTATTTGAGAGGCTGCCACAAAAAAAAAGAGGGAATCATTTTATTTTCCAAAGCACCAGAGGGCCGGATAAGAAACAATAGATGAAAACTAATCAAGAAGAGAAGCAATCTGGATTTAAGGAGAAACTTCCTAACAGTGAGAATTAAGGAGAAACTTCCTAACAGTGAGAACAATTAACCAGTGGAACAGCTTGCCTTCAGAAGTTGTGGCTGCTTCTCAAGGATGTGTGCATTCTTTGTGGGAAATCAGTTTGACATTTGACATTCATTCTAAGTCCAGAAATTTATCCTAAGTCTTCAGTTCAAAGCTCCTTTAATCATGGGAACTGTTTAAATCATTTTCTCAGCCTTGACCTTCCTTTCTAAGGACACGGCAAGCTTCAGTGTGGTCAGCCATGCTCACGTTCTTTCCTAGCAGGGGAGGGGGAAGAAGCATTTGAATAGACATCAGTTGTGGAATTTAGGAAACGGGAGCCGAGTCCTTTCTGCTCTGGTGCTTGCTCTCTTGTATCTCATCCTCCAATCAGTGGCGTAGCATGGGTTGTCAGCACCCGGGGCAAGGCAAGTAATTTGCGCCCCCTAACCCGTGGATTTTAGCACTTTCCCACCCCCACTGTTTCTCTTCCTCTCTTCCTTCTCCCCTCACTTCTTCGGTGCGCGTTTGCTGGGAGCCCACCCAGATTTGAGCATCTTGGATTCCGACTCTTTCTCCCACACTCCAT